CAACTATATTTTGACAGCAACTTCATTTTGACAGCAACTAGATTTTGACAGCAACTTCATTTTGACAGCAACTTTCATTTTGACAGCTTCATTTCATTTTGACAGCAACTTTCATTTTGACAGCTTCATTTCATTTTGATAGCAACTTTCATTTTGACAGCTTCATTTTCTGTTTTGACAGCAACTAAGCAGCAGCAACAGCAGGATCTGTTTTGCATCTTGTGCTGTGTTTGTGGTGTTTGAAGCAGTGATGTTTTTATGCAGATTCACAGTAACAGCAGTAGCTCCACAACAAGTTTATCACAGCAGTTCAACAGATTGCAAAACAGCACAGGTTTATGTTCTGTTCTGATTGTGTGCATACAGGTTTCTGTTCTGTTTTGTGTTGGTTGTCTGTGTTGTTTTTAAAACTACACAGCAGCGGATTCTTAACAGCAGGTTCACAGTGTGCAGCAGCAACAACAAGTTGTGATCTTGACAGCAGCAGATTAAGTATACTGGAAATTACAGCAACAGTGCATAGATCTATCATCTGGTTTGCAAAGAAAAGAAGAAGACTGCTTAAAGTCTGTTTAGAGTGTTGTTTAAGAGCTGCTTTGAGATTTTGTATTGCTTACATTCGACTGATTTGTATTTTCACAGGTTTATGCAGATTTTGTAGTTACTTGGTATAAACTTGACTGTCAATTTTGGTGCAGGAATCTGTCAAAATCTGTTGGTGTGAAGACTGCAGTCGACAGCGGAAAAGAAAGCAGCAGTAGTACTTCAAAGTACAATTTGAAAGGCTTTAAGGCATAGCAAAGATTGGGCAGTGAGGAGACTTAGTCATATACTGCAGTAGCTAACACAATCACAGATTGGCTTTGTGGAATTAACATCAAGTCACARTAGTTCAAGTGAAGTATCTGATACGAGTAGAATTCAAGTGAATTTTTGGATACACTTCAGAGAGCAGTTAGATCATTTTTTTTAAGTGTAATATATGTATTGTAAAGCGTTGATACTGTGTGATTTGGACTTAAAGTCAGAATTTTGGACTTGGTTTATTGTTTTTTGAACTGTTTTTGGTTTCTTAGATTATTTGTGTTTAGATTTTTTTTGGATCATTGTATATCTGTTTTTGCGTG